CTTTCAAGAATTAAATAAATTGATCACTAAATTTATATGGCAAAAGAAAAAACCCAGGATTAAATTAAAACTCTTGCAAGATACGAAAGATAAAGGGGGATTGGCGTTACCAGAGTGGGAAATATACTACCAAGTATCAAGCTTAACTTGGCTAAAAGATTGGATGGATTTGAAAAATACTAGAGTCTTAACAATAGAAGGACATGATTTGCAAGCAGGGTGGCATGCATTCCTATGGGACGAAAAACATAAAATACACAGATATTTTCAAAGACACATAGTTAGGAATGCATTGCTACAGACTTGGAAAAAATAAAACAAAAACATTATACAAGAATTCCAATGTGGTTATCCCCAACAGAAGCTTTGAAATACCCAAATCTATTGGATATAAATAAGATAATTAGATACAAGGAATTAGTAAATGAACAGGGAAATTTGAAAACAAAACAAGAATTGGAACAAGACATTGGCAGAGAGATTGATTGGTGGACATTTATAGAAATTCAACCTAAATATACGGAGGACAAAAAATTATATGAAATCCAAAAAGAGCCGCAAGAATTGGATAAAATTATACATGGAGCAGAAATAAAATTAATTAGCAATTTATATAAATACCTATTGAGATATAAAATGGAAGACGAGGTTGTCAAAGACTAGATGGGCAAAAAATTTCGGATATAATATAGAATTGGAGAAATGGGAAAAAATATGGGAAATAAATATAAAATTGACTATGTTGGCAGCATTCAAGGAAAACCAGTTGAAAATGTTTTATAGATGGCATCTTCCACCTGCAAAGCTTGCCAAGATGTTCCAGAATAACTCGCCAACATGTTGTAAAAAAGTACATGGAACATATTATCATCTATGGTGGACATGCCCAGTTGCAAAAAAATACTGGTCTACAATAAGAAAATGGATCCAAGAAATAATAGACCAACCTGTAGACTGGAAACCAGAGATCTTTTTGTTGGGTATTTTAAATAGAAAATATAGTAAAGAAATATGGTACTTAATTTTACATATAATAACGGCGGCAAGAATAGCATATGCACAGTGCTGGAAAAATGAGAATATACCATCAGAGGAAGAAGTAATAAGAAAAATCCTGGACTGTGCTGAGATGGACAAATTAACAGAGATAAAAGAAAAGGAAGACACAGAGTATTATATAGTATGGAACAAGGTGTATGTCTGGTTGGAGACTAGAAATAATAGAGGAGAATAAATATGGAAAGGTCAAAAGTGAAAATATGTGTACACATGAAGGAAGAAAAATGTAAATAAGAAATAATGGGGCTATAAGGACAAATATTTCAAGAAGAATAATGGGGAAATGTAAATATTAGATTACCGTTAAGTAATTGCTGTAAAAAAAGGAGGTATATATTGTGTGTATATGTGTGTTATGTGTTGCTTTGTTCTGTTTTGGCTTGTTGGTTAAAAATAAAAATTAAAAAAAAAGAAAGATGTGGATCCAATTTTATGTGATCAAATAAAGTAGAGAACATGGAACTACAAATGAAAGACAAAGATAACGATTTGGAAAATGATGTGTTAATGGATATACAATAGAAACTGGCAGAAGTTTTAAAAATTGAAAGGAAAATACAAATAATTCGCCAAGAAAATGACATGGAAAATACATTCATATTGGATTTAGTAAAGGTAGAAAGAAGATAAAGAAGAACTGGGAAAAAAATCTTATGACAACTTTTGATTGAATGAAAGATTAAGATTGTTAGAAGTAAAATGAAGAACTATATAGTTGCTTGATTTGATCAAGGTTAAAATATTTTGTTGTGATATTCTGGCAACCCTTTATGGACTTTTTGCTAACACTAAGACTGAAATGTTGAGGTTTTACAGATTTATTTATAGTTCACATGGGATGAAGAGATGACTAATTTTGAAAGTTGTGGTGATGAAGGTTGGAAGTTCTCTCTTTCTCTCTCTCCCTCTCTCTCTCTCTCTCTCTCTCTTTCTCTCTCTCTCTCTCTTTATTATATACTCTTTTCGTGTTCTCTTTTCTTGCACATTCATTCTTTCCATTCTCTTCTCCTTCTCTAAGTTTAGTTTGTATTAGGTTTTACTATTGTAATTAAAATTCTTAATAAAATTACATTTGAGATGATTAAAAACAAAAGATAATCAGTTTGGGATGAAAATAAATATGGCTTAAGATGAGACCCTTACATTGTATGAAAATCTCTCTCCATAATTGATTAAAAAAAAACTAGTTAGCAAATAACTATTCCTCTTTGACCAAAGTCTGTGTTCTCAGTGATGAATGCTGTGGCCCAGAGATTGCAATGGCTAGGTATACAATTGGCTCAATATCCAGGAAATGGCAATACTGAACATTTCAATACCTTTTCAATAACATGCCTTCTGTTTCATTTTCCTGCTTCCTCATCAAAGATTATTAATGCCACCCTCATTGTGCTTCCATAGCAGGGAAAGGGAAGAGCAAAGTGTCCTCTTAGATTGTAGCATCATTTCACTCTTAACATTCTGCTAAGACGGCTTAATCTAGCTTATTAACCCAAGAGGCTAATCAATAAGGGGGGTCATGTTGCCTTAATAATCCTTCAAGATTGCATCTATTTTTGGAGTAGACTAGCAATAGCATTAGAGACTAGGGATTAGGCCAGGAGTATCAAAAAATAGAAAACATCAGGCTGGTCAGACTGGACAAGAAGCCCAAGACTGTGCAAGTGCTTTTTTTGCAACCTAAGAAAAGATGGCAAAACTTATTACTTCTACTATGTATTATTTCTATTATCCCAGGGCTGCAAGACACCTCTTCTTACTTTAAGCTTGTTTCCACTTTTGGGCTGCAGCTTGACTTTCCCCAGAGAGAAAAGTGGGAGTGGCAGCATAAAGATGCTAATGGGCTGTGAAATGCAAGACATGCTGCAGCAATGGAAGAGAGGATGGGAGCAAGCAGGACACAGAGTTGTGTCTGTGTTGCAATGGAGATACATCAGAAGGAATATTACTGGATGACTAAAAGTTTGAAGGCTGTCAGTTTTGGCACATGAAATTTTACTTCAATAAAATGGCATCAGAGGTGATGCAAACACTGGCTCTCTTGAATACTTATGGCTTCTGTGCCAGTGCTGGAGGCATTGACAGTCAAGAATCATGCATATATCTTCCTACATACTAGAAGAAGGAACATCTGCTGCTTCTAATCACTATCATGCACAGAGCATGGACCCTAATTTTGGGGCTGTGTTATTTGTTCAGTAATTCTTATGAAGATGTGTGGGTAAGGAACATAGGAAGCTGTCCAATATTGAATCGATCTGCTGGTTTTTCAGCTTGGTACTATCAACACTGCCTGAACGTGGGTTTCAAGGATTTCATGAATGCATTTTACTGACCTTATCTAAAGATGGCAGGGAATGAAGTTGACACTTCTGCAGGCCAAGCATAAATCATTGAGTCATCTATCATTGAGCCACACCTTAAAGACAACATCAGGAACAAAAATGCAAGCAACAATCAAGGACTGATCAAACGCAAGGCTACCAGATCTGAGTTGCAAAAATCCAGACAACCAATAATGGAAGCAAAGAGATGCAGAAAATCTTAACATTTTGTTGTCGCCTTGTGGCGATTTGTATTCTGCCTTCCTTCTACAACTAGATTTTCACATCTAAAGTATGTTTCAGCTCAAGAGAAGAACATCTCAACATGCTGACCTTTGTTTCCCTAAAACTATTTATTGCTGGGACCTATAAGGGGTTTAAATGGACTCTCTCTTTGAAGCTTAGAATGAATCTAGCCTTTAGAAAGATGCTGACATGGGTGTGGTGGCCCTTTATTGACTCATAAATCTGAGCACTCTGAAATTAGGAACGGTACCTTCTATTAGAATTGTCACAAGGTGAGGAAACTGCTCTGCTTAAGCTTTTCTTTGCCACATTTGCCACACATTGAAGGGATGGATGCAACTTGGCAAGTCTGTGGCCGACACATTTTGTGCTAAAATCACTCCTTGCTCAAACTGTCTCAAGGTACATAAATGGTAATCCAGCACTGCCATCCACTGGCTGCATTCTGGTTCAGCAATCTCTGTAGCCTGCAGACTCCTGGAAGGATCAGCAGTACAGTTGGCCCAGCAGATCCTATTCACTGAGCAAGCAACGTGATCCAAGAACTAGTTGTATAGAGCTTTTTGTTTAAATATGGGGTGCTTATTCACTGAGAATACATCCTGGCTTCTAAATCCAAACATTACTGTTCTAAAGATTTTTATTTTTTTTTTCAAAAAAGGGGATAACATGGATCTCCCCGAAAATGGAGCAGATACCATTTCTGCAAATCCGGAGTAAATTTTAGGTTTTAAAAAGGAAGTGTTCCTTTTTAAAATCTAAACTTTAAAATTCCTATTTCAATTTCTCTGATACTGCGCAAGTTTCAACTCTTTGGAAGAGTCTGATATAAATGTAAATTTTGTATACATTTATTTTAAATTAAAAATGTTCAATCTATTTTTGGTTTTCAATCAACAGGAAACCTAACAGTTGAAATTACTATATCTTGCTTCTGATTCAATCAAACTGCATAATTGCTTATGTAGTCCCAGATGAACTATGTCATTTTCTAAATTTCCAAATCAAGCCCTAAAATGATTTATTTGCACATTTTCCAGGAGACGGAATATTGAAAATAAACAGCAATAGGATTGCTGTCAACTTTGCAGCCTATTTATGACTTTCCAGAAGTATTTGGTGAAGTATAATAGTAAAATAAATGAAGTTCAAAATGATCTGATAGAGCAGAGCTCAGATCACCTAGCCCCCATCTAGTTTCCTAGCCTCTCCTAACAAGGGTGTCCTCTAGAATGATGAATGGACTTCTGCTCCCAGAATTTCTAGCAATGGTCATTGTTAGTTAGGAACTCTGGGAATTGAAATCCAAACGTTTAGAGAGTTGACCAAGTTGCTTAGCTTGAGGTTGCTGGTATCAACATTCTATCATACCTGCCGGATGGGCTCAGGAATCCGATACTTGCAACAAGAATGGACCAGGCGCACAGCTGACAGTAGATTTATCTTATGGCCTACTGAGATGTACACAGGTTTGGAACTCTTGGCACAGCTACGCAACGCCTGGGCAGATAAGAAACAGAGATACTGCTAGACACATGCAAACTGTGCAACGTCCAAGGAACATGAATGAAGAAGAACAGGTGTCTCTTCTATTTAACAAAATAGCTCTGTGGAAAATTTTAGCTAATGGAATGAGAAACTGGATTTAGAAACGGAAGAAAGAAAAAGAAGGTGAATATGCAGCATTCATTCATTCATTCACATTTATTGATCAGTTTTCTATAAGCACCCCGGACAAAATCTGATATTTAAGACAATGTTCATGTTGGAAAGCAAAGACTGCTTCAGTGACTGAGGATAAATCCGTGACTGAGGATAAATCGGTCTTTCTTTTTTATTGCACTCATTTCTTCAGATTCTTTCCACTTCCAATAGACATGCTCTGCCTTCCCAAAAGTACTTACCATACCCAAGATTTTCCCAGAGGTACTTGTGAGTGGGAATGCATCTCCTCCTGCCTGAAGATCTTGGATCTGAAGTATGGAGAAAGAAATTTACTACAGCAGATGTGTTGGGACAGATGAGTAATTGGATTAATTCCGGATTAATTCCTAAACTGTAGCCTTTTCTGAAAAAAATAGGAGGGGATTGTGCTAGTCAAGTATTAGTGTTTCTTTTCCATTGCTGTTCTACACAGGACATCTCTAAATAAAAGTCTGAAATCAAAATAGCTTGGCTGGAATTCTCCTTTAAAGGTTTTATTCTGCATAGAAATAAGTGTCTTCCCCTGCAATAATCTTCATGGGTCAGAACCATGCAACATACACACACACACACACACACACACACACACACACACAGCAGGAAGCCAAGGTTAACTGTATTTTTTTAATACAGTGAGCAGAGCATCTTGGTCACTACATAATTGTCGATCAATCTGAACATATTTCATCCTGTAGGTAACACCATCGTTTTCTCATTTTAAATGGGGAAAAAAAACCCAGAACAGCTATTTGTACATAGCAGTTTCTCCAATTTTGACAAGATGTTCCTCTAACATCTCCCTACTGTTTGGAATTAAGAATGTGAAATGTAATTCACACCTTTCAACACTTACTTGTTTCTTGTGAATTTCATCATTGGCCAAACCTTCAACCTGCAAGAGATTTTTGGCTACACCAATACAGGGAAGACCTGTGAGAACACCAAGATGGCAAGCAATGCCAAAACCTGTTGAATATAATGCAGAAGAAGGAGAAATTGGGGAAAAACTGGTAAGAGAAGTTTCAATTTTGTTGTGAAGAGAAAATCTGGCACCACTTTTTAAGGGCAGGGGTTTGAACAAGCTCCCAAAGGAAGGGCAAACCATGATGAAACCAACGAGAAGGAAATAAGACTGCTGTCAATCTTGCAATGCATTTCTTGATGTTCACCCAAATACCAACTGATTATTCTGCTGTTCCTTTTGGGCATGAGGGAGGACAGACTTTTCACTGTCAGCAAGCAGGCTAGATCAGCCTACAGAGAGATGATGGAATTCTTTTGTTTGCCCTTCCTTCCTCTCTGACAACTGCCAAGGAGATGAACACGGATAACTTCTTTCCCCCAAGAGCTCTGCAAACACTACAATAATGAGAAATCAACCAATGACTCCCCATGCTGGCATCTACCAGGTATGCTCTAAACATCTCACAGATGGAAAGTAAATCTAAAGGATTTATTTTAAATCTACATGCAAACGTACATTACAATAAATCTAAAGGATTTACTAGCAAGGACGGCCCAGGAAACTTACCTCTGTGGTGCAGAATGCCGTTTCCATCTACAAGAAGCACCTAGGGAAAAAAACCCCACAAAGGGGCACTTCAGTAATAGGTAACACAGTGGGAAGTTTTTTCAGTAATGGAGATGTCAGTGTTGCCTGTGTTGGTCTGCATGCACAAAGTATCAAAAAAGAAGGCAAATAACATTGGTGGTCCTCTTCCATAAAGTGAAACCTAGTCACAGAATCTCAGTCACTGAAAAACATTTTTGAGTCTGCTGTGCAAGTGCATTGTTTGACTTCCCTCGAGATCAGATATATATATAAAGTGACATGTTCAAACTCATATTCATTTTTTAGTTGAGATCTCACCCTGGCTGGTGTTATCCAAGTGTATGGGTTTATAAATACTATCATTCTCAAGCCAATGCAAGTTATGGCTGTGCAGACTGGGAATTATGGGAGTTGTCTTCCCATCAATTTGCAGGGTGCTTTAGTTCCAAGAATCTCTTTTTGCATCTGTTTTATGAGAGAAAAGTTGCTGGAGGACTTTACTGTGCTATCTTGGTGAGCTAGGGCCTTCCACACTTTCCTAAAATGAAGCCTCTCTAGCTGTTTCATCCTGGCAGGAAGGGTGCTTTCGATTCTGACTGGATGACTCAACACTTTTAAATTAGGTTGGAGCAGCTGTCCTTTTGGGTCTGTAGCATAGCTTAAAGATGTTGGCTTTGGGCCTAGCCCTCTTAGAGAAATCATAGAGATGTTCTTAGAACTTCTGGCCTTCAGGTGAGAAAAAAACAGTCACAGATACCTAAATGGAAGATCCATATTCACAGGGACTAAGCCACAAAATGCTAGAGGCTAGAAGTCTTGAAGCCCTAGTTATTAGTTCTTTGAAGGAGGGGAATTCTGGATGAAATATATCCTTGGCCTAAGGTAACAGCACTCCTTTCATTCACAAAAACTATCCCACCTGGGGCCTGAGGCCAGGCTTCTGTGTCTCTAGCCGCTGTACAGCCTCCAGTAAAAAAGGGACTTCTCGGAAAGCCAGGAATCCTGCCACATAGGGAGCATTCACAGCCACCACGTAGCAGTCTTCGTAGAGGACCTGTGATGACAGAAGAAAAAGTGACATTTTGCCAAGGAGCAAGACTAGTATTTTTAAGGTCATCTAGGTTAGAGATGGGCACTACAACTCATGAACTGAATGGAGCTCCCAGTTCCCATTTGACATGCCCTAAACAAATCAACAAAATGGTTCAAATTTAACCTTCTCATGTGTTTGCAAATGTAGGGTGAAAATAGATACAGCACTGTAAGCCTCTGCAAGGCAAAGTATCTACCGTTATTGCAATACTACATTGCTCCCTACAGTTCTAGAGACTTCTTTAAAATGTAAATAAAAGTAAATAAACATTTAGCATTTACTTAAAATATTAAGCAAGAAAGAAATAAAAACCCAGGTAAGAAAAAGGATTTCCTGCTTCTGATCTCAACTAAAACTTAAAGAAGTGTCACATCCCTTTCCTTTGTCTACCAAACTGTTCTTTGAGATTATCTCTTTCAAGTCTCAGAGCTGGGGGAAAAAAAAAAGCTTATCTCCTGCCAATTTTTTCTCTCTCAACAACTCCAGAATTTTGTATTTGGCAGCCAAGGCCAGGAATATTTTGATTGCTCAATGTAGTGGGCAGACAATCACATTTGTGCTCTCTTGCAACTAAAATAAATAAATAAATAAATAAATAAATAAATAAATAAATAAATAAATCAGAGGACTGGGAGATCACAGTTTGAAAAGTGACAAGTTAAATTGACAATAGCTGGACCACATCTAAATTTGACAACAGTCCCAAAACTCACCATTGACTCTTGAATTGCTTCTAAGATTTTATCCTCAATCCTACTACCGAAACAAATATCTCAGTAGCTGGAACCCAATCAGTAATTAAAATTACTAAGGCAGGCAGTCAAACTTTTGGAAACTGGATTTTTAATCTTCTTAATATATTAATCCTAGATGTGCAAAAATTCCTTGTAATGCCTTTAGCCTTTTATCTTTGTTACCTCAAGTTCTGGGTAGCTGAGCACCACTAGTGAAGCACAGGCACGTGTGGCATCTTCTTTGAGATAAGACAAATCCATTCCTCCAACTCTTTCCAGTCCAATAAAGGAGGAATTGCTCTGCCATTCTTCTGTGTCCTGTTCAATCACATCTTCTTTCATCTGGATCTGTTGACTAAAGAATACAATAGGACTAGATAAAACCTGCCTGTTCCCAGTATCATTTAAGGCAAAAAGCACTATGGGTGATATAAAAAGTGGTAACAAACTCTTGTGGAAAAATAAAGCCTTAAAAAAATAAAGGGCTTTTACGAAATTCCATGGGTGAAAGAGAGATCTTTATTTTTGCGCAAAAAGGTTCAGAAGTGATTTAACAATCAACAAATTTCTGAACAAGGGGGAGGGTCTGAACTAAAGCTTTATAGGTTTCTTTCTCTCAGGAACAAAGGAAGCATAGATGGAATCTTATATTGTATATGGAATCTACTTTGTGTAACATTCAGATAGTTTCTCACACGTTAGCTCCATTTCTCATGGGAATAACAATGAAGGCAGTTTTTTTACTTTTATACAATGTTTCTAAATATGCATTAGGTCATCCACGTACTATTAATACAGCTTTTGGCTAACACAGCTTTCAGAGATTATGCAGACACATGATTTTTGCTTTTAGTGATTTTTCATTATTATTATTATTATACTTTATTCTTCTTTATTCTATGTTATTCTATTCCTTTCCCACTTTAAAACGAAAGAGAGAGAAATGCATGTAACCGACAAATGATGCTTCCAAAATAGAATGTTGAACTATTTTGAATTTTTTGAAAAAGAATTTTTTTTCAAATGATCATGAATATTTATTGGTTTCAAAGAACTTAAGAAATGACCCTATTCTATGCCTCCACTATTAATCCACTGAAGAACATAAAAACAGCCACACAAATCTGCTAGCTTCCACTGTGGCTGACCAGATGTGGGGACTCCATAAGCAAGAAATGAACCCAGTATCCCGCTGAAGTTGTCTAGTAACTGTACGTGGAAGCATAGTGCCTCTTATACTGGGGCTAAATATCTTCAATATCCTGGTGGCAATAATCCCACTACTCAATTCATAAACAGGAATCCTGGGGGTCTCCAGATATGGACAACCTGTGACCTTCCACCTACTTATTGAGACTAACAGGAACTGGAGAACTCAAACAACTTGTTTTAAGTGTCCTACAGTATTTTCTTCATCTTCTCTAAATCTCCCACTATTTTTCATGGGATGATCTCAGCTTCTAGAACTGAGCTATAGAAAGGAAAACTTCTCCATCTTCATTAACGCTGTATCAGATTGTGTTGCTATCCTGTGATCCTTTGGTTCTCTACCCAAAATACTCTTTTCTATGCTGAAATGTTCTACTTGAACTGCATCTTTCTCCAAAGAGGTCTGCTCCAGCTTTTGATTTTTACTGACTTGTTCTGTGCCCTGGAGAACGTTGATGGATTTCATGGGCTTTTTTTCAGATGGTGGATTAAATGTCACTGTAGGCAGGGCTGTGTGGTGATCTGGACTCTAAAGGGAGAAACACAGGAAAAGATGCGCTCCTGTGCCAGCCAGGCTTCCCTTCGAAAACCCCTTCGAATCAAGATCACAGCTTGGTCCTAACTAGAGAACCCGGGGGAAATCAGCTGATAATGTCTAGATCCGGAGCCCTGAATTCCGGGAAGAAGGCACCACACCGCCTCCTCTCTGCATGCTCAGGGCTGCTCGCGTTCTTGTGTAGAAGCGAGTCCTCTTCAGCTCAGGGCAGGGGGGGAGTCCGGCCAATTGCCCCTAACGGCTTCCCTCCCTATTCCCAACCCGGCTTGCAGGGAAACGCCCTCTATCCCTCTGCAGCCACTAGGGACCCAGGAGGCGGAGCCAGACTCAGTAGCTCAAAGAAATACAAATCCCAACTTCCCCGGTAGCAGGAAGATCTCCCGAGCCCTTCTTCATCCCTGGTTCCCCCGGCTGGCGTTTTACCGCTCCCAGCGCCGCAAAGTCTCTCCTTCTTCCTCCCTTGTTCCCGTCCCGTCCGTCATTGCGTCCGCGCCCTGGGTTTCCTACTTCCTGGGACTTCGGGGGCTCTTCCTGCACGGTTACGACGCCCGGTGCTCCGTCCCTTCCTTGGGCTTCCTGTTTGCACCGAAGGGCGGAGGCATGAGCGACCGTGCTGGCTTGGAATCCAAGGCGGGTTGGATCTGTTCCGACGGAGCGTCCATAGCGGCAGCTACAACTCTCAGCTTTTTCGACCGAGAGCGTCCGCAGCCGTATACGCGCTTAGCGCACGACTAGATGGCAACAGGGAGATGGTTTTAGATAATGTCTACCATTCGAGATTTAGTCCAGACGTGGCAGTTCTGGTGCGAAGCCACTGGTGTTCAACACGCTTGTGAATAAATCCAGAAATTACACCCATTCTCTAGCGATAGCTATGGGTAATTAGTTTGATGAAGAAACAACTTTCCTGTTTCCTAATTAGAAATGGAAAATCTCGTTGCTGTGCGGCTCCGAATGTGTAATCTTGCAGAGTACAACTCCAGGAAAGTTAAGTAAAAAAAAATCCAATTAAGGGAATTTCATAAAGGGGGAAAAAGAACCGACTTTATTGGACATACTATAAACCAGGAAAAATTACCATCGAACCGAGAAAAGATTCCCCTCTCATTAACTAAAATGAAAGGAGAAATTACCATTAGAACGCATGAAGACCAATGTCTTCCCAATTTTCCTTACAGGTGGCAGGTTGGGTGACTTTTCTTTCGCACCAATGATTAGAATGTGTGGTTAATATCCCAATTCTTATAGAAGGTTCCTCTCACACAAAGAATCTCTGAACAATTTAAATCTATGGTTCATGGATTACATTCACATAGCAATGACGAGATGTGAGGTAAAGTTCCCTGCTTCGAAGAAATCTGTGGTAAAATTGTTAACGGTTTTAGCTTGGTGAATTGCTAAATGTCAATTAACTAAACGTTAAGCAGTAAAACCAAACTCATGTTCCCCAGCTCAAGAAAGGTGACGTAAGGTGCTATAGAAGTAATAAGGGACATAGTCTGAACACTTTTGTAACAAGGGATTTTTTATTATAAGAAAAAAAAGGCTAGAAAGTAACTTTTATAAATTGCAATTTTTGAATAGTGAAAAAATAAGTGGAGGCATAATGTTCTCTGCCAGCATAGCTACCTGTATTAAGACATTATCCCTGTACAATCGAAGGAAGAACACAAACTCTGTTTCTTTAAATCCTAGAGGTCTGGAATGACAATGCCTAATGCATAACTTGATACAAATATCAATTAACAATTAAAAAAGAATGGAACTATTTAAATACATACTTATCTTTGGCAACCAAAAACTTTCAGTCTTTTTTTTTTATTTATTTAGAACATCTTTTAACAGGAAAAAAAATAATTTCCAAAACTGCTTAGAAAAAAACTCAGTAAATCAAAGAAAGCGCAACCTCATGGCCTGTTTCATATAGTATTCAATTCAGAAGACTATCAGTAAAACATGGTTGGGATGGTTCACTTACATACTTGCTTGATTCTATCTACTTGTTCAAATACGTAGTCTCAGAGAAGTAGACAATTCAGTATATGAGAAAAGAAAATTACAAAGAAATTATGTCCCTGGTTAAAAAAAAAAAAAGACAACTGATAGCATTTATAAAATCCAGGGAAGTCTAGGGAAAGAAGATTGTTTCTCTGCTCCCCGCCAATTCTAAATAGATTAAAGAGGAAAATTTATAATGAAGTCTATAAACCCAAACTTACAGATGTTACATGGTCCTTTCAGAAATCTGTTAACAATGAAAATACTTTTCTTTGAATGAAGTGTAGCTATCCAACTTGTATTTTCTAGAAATCCTTCGTTATCTAAAGCACCAACTCCTTTATGTTTGTGCATCACTATTTATTCACATATAGCACCACAATCCTTTAATTTAGGATCACCCTAAGTGCAAAAACTTGTTATTTCCTTCCTTTCTTTTTGTACAAGTATAAAGAAAAACCAACAATTAAATACACTGCTCTGCTCATCAGTGAAGAGTGAGGAAGAGTGGAAAAGTATCTGGATTAATTTCCTGGACCGCATCCACCCCGTTTAAGAGTAGCAGCTATTTTCCAGGCCGCGATACACTGGGAAACCTGGATATCTTCTGGGAACATATCATCCAAGTCCTGAAGCTCACTGCTACCTTTTCCTTCAAGATAGGGAATAAATGCTTCTTTCAGGCTGGAAAAAAAGAAAACCAATAAGCCCAAAACAATAAGATACTCTACAAAACAGGATGTATTTCACTATAAAGGGATTGGGCTGCTCACACTCTTACCTCCACGTAGGACTGTACTCTTCTCCAGTTCTGGCATGTTTCAATTTCAGCATGATCATTTCATGCAACTCTTGAAGGAAGGACTCCAGCGCTGTCTGGGTGAGGAAAGCTTTGAGAAGATCAATACTATCCACTGTGAGTTCCTCTTTATAGTCTGCGCTGATCTCTCCAAAAGGATCCTGGATAATACATTATGAGGAAGAGACGGAGAGAAACAGTTAAGCGGGGAGCGGAAAGAAAACAGCGACAAAAAGTGTCTAGCGAGCACATCCTTATCCACATCCTACCTTTTTCAAATGCAGCAGCTGTTCTGATTTGTGACTAGAAAGGAGCTGCCACAATGAAATGGCATGCTTTAGCTGACATCGGCTCAGTGCCTAAAAGAAATATAAACATACACAAACAAACATAAAGGGTTATTTTACAAATGATAAATCAAACGTATTTCTAAATGGCATTCATGGATGGCCATTTAGGCCAGTGGTTCTCTACCTTTTTATACGGCGACTCCCGATCATAAGGACGCAACGCGCACGCACGGCACCCCCCCATGTGCGGCGCCCCCCATGCGCGGTGCACATGCGCAGCGCCCCCGAGGGGAAAAATGGCGGATCACGTTGTTTGGCGACCCCCGTAAAATGGTCGTTCAACCCCAAATGGGTCGCAACCCAAAGGTTGAGAACCGCTGATTTAGGCAATAAAGCCAAATATTAATATCAACTTTTCTAATAAATTCTAGAAATCTTTTAATGGGAAGAGCACTTGCCAACATTTTTCATGTAAATTCTGTGCAGACCAACACCAAACTCAACTCTTGTATGAGACAACTGATGCCAAAGAACAACAAACATTCTGCACTGCCTCTGAACACCTTATAATGCAAAGGCATCTAGATTGTATATTGTGGATTACATCTCTGGCACCATAATGTCTTGGCCCAGTCTAGGGCTATCCTGGGAAGAAAGGGGGTTTTCTAGGTGACTATAGCAATGTTCCAGTTGGTAATTGTAATAGTCTTCTAGACAAAGAAGTAGACTTTTTAAAAGGTAGGACTAATTATAATATTACATTTAACTACAAACAGCAAGATCAAATATAATTAAAAAATTAGAAGCCGGGGTGCACAAAATGTTTTGCCATGAAACATTTCAAATATTAATTTAGTGATGTTTCCTATCTTGAGATTTCAAACTATTCCAATTGTTAAACGGAATTCTTCTGAATAGTGTTTGAATCTGGAACAGAATTACAGAATATTCATATTTCAAGCATTTTCTCAATAATTAAAAATGATCTGTTCTGCACTCGAAAGCCCAGCTTTGAACTTAAGATTTAATTAAGTTTCACATTTAGAAGTAAGATGTTCTATGCACTCGTTTTTTTATCTCTACTGTTTCCTCTGGATGATACATCTTTTGGATGTTATTCTTTATTTTATGTCCAGAGATGTTAAGCTACTTATAGTTGTTATAATTGGTCAACCTGGAAAGTTGCTTAATAAATCCTAGAAAGTACTACTTAAAATGTGGTAATGGCCATTGGCTGCCAGTAGAAACAGTGGGATGTATTTGTTTTACTTATAAATTTCTTGTAAGCAAATAACCTGTTTGAAATGCACTTACTTGATCCATCAGGGATCTTTTTAAGCTCTCCAGTCGTACTATACTTTTCCTTTCCACCACCCGAACACTACCAAAGTACAGTCCAATTAAAAGGATAATTCTCTACTATAATCTCAAGAAGACCAATATTTACCACTCATGAACATGTTTAGAAACTTTTTTCAGTGATCAGAATAGTACAGATCTGATCTAAGTGAGGAAAACGTCAGCTACCTTTCTCAGTCTGAGCTACACATACAGTATATAGCCTCAGCCTCACTGGCTTTTCTCTTTCCTCTTGCAGAGATGAAAGGTGAGCCTCTGATCCCCTGCACTCACCTTCATCACTGGAAGACTTATCTGATTGCTCATCCGCAGGACATTTTCAGTGTAATCAGTCAAAGTCATATGTGAGTCACCCCCAGTTGTAGCCAAGAATCCTAAAATAATTTCAATGACCGAAAGTGCATCACAGATGTCAGTGTACGAAACCAAGTCCCCTCTGATCATGCCCATTTTAGAACTTGAAAGAGAGCTCTGTAATAGAAGGAGATAAGATCAACTGGTATTTTATTCCTGAAACATTTTTCTATAAAAAAAGGCACTTATGCTATCTGACACCTCTTCAGGGCATGTAAGCAATGTAAAACTGCACACATATTCAAGCAAGCTGCTGCTTTCACCAATGCTCAACCTCCATACAAAGTTTTTTCTACTAAGTAATAAGTAAGACTCCCAAGATAAATAGGTAAAATTACTTCAACTGAACAGTAAATTTTCTGGAGACTTTAGCTAAGTTCCCTCTTTAGCCACCAGGGTGCACTGTCTGCATGGGTAAAGACTTCAGGGAAGTTCCCTCTCTGACCACCAGGGCGCACTGTCTGGATAATGACTTCAGCGAAGTTCCCTCTTTGGCCACCAGGGTGCACTGTCTGTGTGGGTAAAGACTTCAGGGAAGTTTCCTCTTTGACCACCAGGGTGCACTGCCTGTGTGGGTAGAGACTTCAGCAAAGTTCCCTCTTTGGCCACCAGGGTGCACTGTGACTAGTCTGGTCTGTGCTGTTAACACAAGCTTGAATCATTTGTTTCTTTCTCTGCTGGCATCTCAAGGAGAGGGGGTCTCTTTCACCCAGCAAGAGCCAGTTGTCATAGCAATTAATTGCCCTATTTACAACCGGGCTGATAAGCGATGCCTCCATGAGGGATATTCCTTTGTTAGCTTGTCTATTAAACCAGTTCTGAATAATTTCTCAAGTCAAACTCAAACAGAATTCTTTCTTACTTTCATCAAGGAGACAACTTCTTTCCGTTGGGAAGGTAAATTATCTCTATTTACTTTGAGCTTAATTACTTCCTTTCTGTTGGAAAGGCATTCCTTCAACACACACACATCTCTTCACTCCCCACCAACACATTCCTGGCATTCTAATCCCGCTGGTTTGCATGCGAAAGAAAGGGAGGGAAGAGGCTTGCTTCAGTTTAAAGTCTCTCTTTTCACCTTTGCGTAAAGGCACAGCTTTAAATGTTTTCCTGAGATCTACTTTTAGTCTTTCTTACTCCAGCCAAGCAGATGTATGGATGCATTATATGCAGGAGTTCTGGGAATGTTGCTAGCAAGCAGCCAGTTAAAGATACAGCTTTAGTTTTTTGCCAAGCATGGAAAGTAATATCTCTTTTTTTACTTTTGCCAAGCAGATGCATAGAGTTGAATTATTCCTTTTTTACTTTTCTGGAACCATGAACTGAGATGCGTTATAGTTCTGATCCAGATAGCATAAACTCCACGAAATGGTTTTAAACAAATATTTATTGTCCAGGAATTCTAAGCCGAGACTTATTTTGCAGTAGATACATCCGATCATTTGCATATCTGTCCATTCTCGTAGGTAAAAAAGGAATAATTCCCCATCTCAGCTAGGCATGGTAACCGATGCCAATCGATGCGTATATGATGCTTGATTAAAACAAAGGCTTTACAACC